GAGTCTACGGAGCCCGCGAGGGGACATGGGAGATTTTTTTTCTTTTGCGTTCCCACGCAATAGTATTGCGTTACCTTGCAATACTTTTGCGTTACCTCGCAAAAGTAGTTTATCACTGTTGTGCCTGCCGGTTTAGTAGCAAACTCACATGTTCACCATTAGCGAGTTAGCCTACTGCTTTAATTAAGCTTCAGAATGAATATATCACACAGCCACGCATGTAAGTATGTCATATGCTGATATTTTAACACAGTGCAGCCACGCAACATCAATGTCAATTTCACGAATTTGTGGCAACACATCCTGTTTTGGTAACYGGATATTTCAAAATAAAAGTCTGATTTAATTCAGTTCATATACAAAACAATCTTTTGCTTGGGAATGCAAAAGAATATTGCGAGGTAACGCAAAAGTATTGCGAGGGAACGCAAAAGTATTGCGAGGTAACGCAAAAGTATTGCGAGGTAACGCAAAAGTATTGCGAGGGAACGCAAAAGTATTGCAAGGGAACGCAAAAGGTATTGCGTTGGAACGCAAAAGGAAAAAAATGCCCCGTGTCCCCTCGCAGGCTCCATAAGAGTCAGTCTTTTATCTGATTGGCTTTTATTCCCTGTCTCTGCTTCAGTCCTGATCAAGTGTTTGCCTCACCTAGTTTTCCTGAGTTTAATTAGTTTTTGATTTTTGTTGTCTTGTATGCTTCACCTCCCTCTGAAGTTTTTTCAGCATTTGGGTCCTCGATTTTTCATCCTTCCCATTTTGTGACTGTATTAGCCCATCTATTGTTGGCTAATTCAAAGAAGAAGTTTAGAGTTTTGCAAGTGGCATTTTGTGGAAATTTTATAAACAAATAATACTTGTGGATGCTTCTTTGAAAAATCACATGTTGGAGAAATGGTTTTGTTCAGAATGAATTGAGCAGCTAACATGGGCCAAGACCAAGAGAATTGCTGACATTTTAAATCTACTCTTGTCTAAATTATTTCTAATGGTTAATTAGAAATAATTACCAATTTTGACATTGCCATCTAATTTGCRTCATACTGTTAGCATAATGCAAAAAATAATAATAATAATGTAGTGTGTGTGTGACACAGAACTCTACGATTATTTGAAAGTTCAAACAGTAGCAGATRCTATCTGTAGCACAACCAGTGCAGCCTATTGCATTTCTGGACAAAATGAAACATTTCTGCCAGAATAACCCTGTAAAACAAACGTAAGGACCGCACATAATGCTCACATGAACCACTRTGAAATATTTTGACATTGAATTCTTTTTTAARACAGCAGGAATTCACTTTAAAATAACTCCTCTTGAGAGTGAATTAGCTAATGTCTAGTCTGAGTTAACCAGTTACAAAATGGGTTGCAGCCATCTAATAACTCCAGTCTCAAAAATGTCATAATAACAATTCATAAGAATGGTGTTTTATAAAACTTTACAAGGCCTTTGATTTCTTGATCTGTCATTATTATATGCCAACATGAAAAATTACATACTCACATTTCTTGTTTCAAGTTGAACCGTACTAAAACCAGCTGCTGCTTTTTTTCCTTTGCAATAAAACCATACAGTAGATTATGTAAAAYAGCCAACAATGTAAAGATTTATACAAAAATGTTTGTATCAACTAGATTGTGGTTGATTTATGTCACAGTATTTGTAAAGATSWGAACTGTMACTTTACAGCAGAATTACACTGATAGAAGTTAGTGCTATTTTCCTTTTTTTTAGTTTTCTTGTATTTGGGAAAAACGCTGCTTGCCAGTTTTCAGCAATAAATCAAATTTGAAAGTCAAAAACTGTGTTCTTTATAACAATTTTTATAAAAACAGAATGTCTTCTTGGTATTAACCATGACTTTCGATGCATTTGCAGTGTCATGAAATTATTTGATTTGATTGACTTTGATGATGACGATCTGCAGTTGCATTCTTGGGGAACTGTAGTCAGTGGCGTGCCTATTTTAGGGGGGGGAGGGCTGGAGCCCCCCTAAAATATTTTAAACCCCCCCCCCCCTAAATTATTTTGGTGTAAAAATTTTTTTTTTACAAAAACTCAATATGATGTGATCAGAATAAACC